GGAGTGAGTGTATTGACAGCTAATAGTGCAACTATCAATATAGTTCTTGGAAAATAGTCCTCAACACATAGAATCGATGCTTATATAATCAATGAGACACTATGAAAATTGCTGCAAAAAGCAGAGACTCCTTTTCTAACTCAACGGATGTTGACGAGACTTGATTTTATCCCACATCATTTGATGCAAGGACATTTAGAGGTTTCACTTGTAAAAGGAAGTGTCTATTGTTTGGTTGGAAATAAAGTTTGATGTACATAACGTATCGTGACATTTATGAAGAGTGATGTTTTAAAGTGTTCATTGCGGAATGATTCGGATCATGTGTTACTTTGACGGCGACAAATCCATTGAAAAAAAGAAATCTACTTTTTTGCATTTAATGTTACCTAATTCTAATACTACGACACGTCCTCGCCCTCCCAATTTCCCTGCATCAAGAGTTCGTGGGTTCGTCAGTTTTTAGCGTATCGTTCATCTCCAATACGGCTCAAATTGTTAGTTTTAACGACTATCGTCCATCTCTAATTCCGAGTCATCGCTTATAGCTAGCTTTGTGATAATTTTTAAAACAATATTAAACTAGAAAATAACATCTGAACAGGGTATCAAGTCCCACCGTACTAAACATGTTTTGAATAGAGCTCATTTGTCACTAGATATCAGCTAGGCACCTAGGCATTAGTATATAAAACTTGAACCCAATCAGTCAACTGGTATTTGAGTTATCAAAGATTACAATTTTACGAAAAATGGCGGCCACTTTGAATTGAGCGGCCATGTCGAAAATTCCTTCTCTAACAGAGGTTTTACACCCATAAGGCACGAGCCTACAAAATTTGAATCAAATTCGTCAACCGGTTTTTGAGTAATCGCCCGGACACACGAACGAACGGACGGACATCTTGTAATATATACATACACTTTCCCACATGTTTTGTTATAGAGCAACTGAAGCATACAATCTTTCCACAAAGATAAATTCAGACCAACATTTGGATATCTACATCATGTGGGTAAATCATAATTGATTTTATTTACAGACGGACGGACGAACGGACGGCTCCTATATATATCTATGAACTACGTCCGTTGGGATAGTAACTATTGGTTGAGCCAAGACCTTGTAAATTGATCTATAAAGAATTTACCACCCTAATTCCTCCGGGGAAAACCATTTACATCTTCTGAATATATTTCAAATCGTTTAGGCCGAAACGTTTCCTTTCATATATAAAAATAGCATAATTTAATGAGTTTTGACTGACGTCTTCTTAAATTAAAGATAAAAGTGCTTAAAAGTGACATAACACTCCTAGGAGAGCTTGATTCACTTTGAATAATTCTAACCAAAATATATGACACATGCCATAGATTTCGCATTTACCTCATTTTTCACATACAGTACTGTAACACGAGATGTTTTGACGCTGTGTAATTTAGTGAATTTTTGATTCCATTTGGAAGCTATATAATTTTGCAAATGGGCGCGGTTCAATTTTTCAATGCGACTGTGTTTTGCTTTCACAACGTTCACAATTGTTAAAATTTCGAAGGTTATTGGTTTCAAATTAATATTACAAGCCGCCATTGTCAGCATTATGTTTTACCTTGTTCCCCAGGCATTTCAAGCAACGAGTAATTACTCAGATGCGAGTAGGTAGTTACCAGGTGGCTGATTCGGGGGAAATAACATGGCAGGGTATTACACAATTCCCTTAAACTTAAATATACATCAGTTTAAGTGGTTTACTTTTCAAATTACCCTCATGTATGTGATATTTATACAAATTAAAATAAGTCCAGTAAAGGAAAATATTATCTGCCCAACACAAGAAATGATATTTCACTTTTTGTAGTTTTACAACATGGGGTCTATGGGGAATCTCCCCGACCTATAAAGTCACATTTTCAAAGAAAATAAAATTTTCAAAGTTAATAAACTCTTTTCAAAACCACAATTTTAGGTGTAATTTTATATGTAGATTCCAAATATGACACCAGTTTGACTGAATTGTGAATTTTTAATGACGTAAATCAAGATTATTTCTACTCGCATCTAGGATATTGGCTTTGTTCTGCAATTTGCAATAGACATGACATCATAAGGTGCTTTCACCTGAAGACGAACTTTATGCGTGCCAACGGTATGAAAAGAACTGATTCTCGGGGTTTATTTTGAATTTTGCGGACGGTGTAAATCGGCGAATTTCTCAAAATTGCCAAATTAAACCAAGTTACCGTAGTTTGGCAAGAGGGAAGATAATATGGATTTTCGGTGTTTCGACCCCCTGTGTTCGTGTATATATATATAACTTTTATTGACATATTGTATCATAACATGATTACATTAGTCATAACTATGAACAAACTAAATATCTAAACTACAAATACTAACTAAAGCAAAAGTACAAAAATATATACGAGATATACAAAAACCCAAAATAAAAGGTAGTATACATGTACATCATGATAGCAGGACAAGGTTACATTTAAAGTGTGGTGCACATACCCTGCATTCTGACTACAAATTCTTAAATGAATGATAAATGAATTTTCCAATGTGTCTTTGTAATGTTAAGTATAAAAGACTAATAATTGGGGTTTCAACAGTGGCACTGATCAGATTCTACGTATGACTAAAAACACTGACATGCAAAACGTTTAGTTCTAAAATGAGAACGAATCATTCATTGTTTTGTACACCTTCGATACGACTGTTTCATTTCCTCCATGTTCTGAACAATTGTTGTTTTAAAAGCCAACACGACATCTGCTGTTGATTACGCCTGTATTTTAAAGTTCACATGTTATGGATTATTGACTACTATATTTACAATAAAATACAATACAATATACACGTTGAACTGATACACTAGATGTGAGTAGAAATAATCTTATTTTACGTCATTAATTATTCAAAATTCAGTCACAAAGTGATGTCATATTTGAAATCTACATGTAAAATTACATCTAGAAATGGTTTCGAGAATTGTGTATATCAACTTAATTTTTTGAAATTGTGATTTCTAGTTTGGGGAGATTCCCCATAGACCCCATGTTATAAAATCACGAAAAGTGAAATATCTTTTCTTGTATTGGGCAGATAATATTTTCTTTTACTTGACATATTCTAATTTGCATATCTATTAGATACATAAGGGTGATATGGAAATTGAACCACTAAAACCAGATGAATATTTAAGTTAAGGGGAATTTTCTACTATACCCGCCATGCTATCAAATCCGAACGAGCCACCTGGTGATGAAACTGGTAACTACTACTACAGTACTCGTATCTGAGTTATTGGAAAATAAAACATTTTGAAATTTCACTTATATCCATCCTACTGTCGAATCCCAAGTAACTTCGAAATATGACGATTATATTACAAAGTAATGCAGTATACATTTTTAAAGAAAATGATGAGAGGAAGTGATGACTAACACTTTTTTTATAGAAAATATCATGACTATGGCCCCAAAGTAAAATTTATACACTGAAACTAGGAACGCTTGAGACATTAAAATTACGAACGCGATACGTTATCGGTATTGTGCACACGGGATTTAATACCTTCACAAAATGTGGGATATATATACAATCCATTTACCATCCAACTTACATTCATTCGACGTAATTTGTTATGAAATATCGGTCTAATAACTATCGTCTATAAAAATTCTTCTAAGTGATATTTGAGCAATGGATAGGCTACATCAGCGTGGATCAATCAGATATAAAGATCATTTTCCTGAATCGTATCAATTTTTGTTTGTTTTCTAATACCATTCTCAAATTCATTTTAATCTCATCATATTTATTTCAAAAAATCTCAAGGTAATGTACGAATAGCATATTAGCTAAAATGATATGAACCGCTGATCAATGACCAATGAACTACAATTTAAAGCAGATGTAATTTGCTTACTAATTACGTCATTTGACGTACGTAATCCTTACTTATAAGTTGGGCAAAAAACTATTTGAACATTTTTCAATTGATTATAATTTTTTATTATTGCAGCTCGATTTACGAAAAATTCTAATAACATGCTTTACTTATATGTGAAAATGAAACAATATAACTTAACTGAAATCTACTCGATCGTCATCATGCGAGCAAAGTGTTCCAACTTAAATAACTCTCAACCATGTCTCTGCCTGATCGTTTAGCTACTGATATGTTGGAGAGATGTATGTACGCATTCCTAGTTTTTGTCTCAAACTACATACAAGGTAAAATCCTTTAATTTGATTAGTATAATAATCATGTATCATGACGGATCGTAAAATTTAAATCGTACTACTTTATGTTATGTTATCTTGAACAAAATATAACGAAAATACCTCATGCGGTGGCAAATTGTATTATTTTTTCAATATTAGCACAATCCGAAAAATGATCCTAATCCTTCTGAACAACTTCTATATTTAGTTTATCTTAGTATTGATGATATAAATGTATTAAAACTCCTTTAGAAAACGTAAACGTTGCTCCACGCTCGTAGTGAATCGTAGTGTGACGTTAAAATTGTAAACATTATATTGAGAACCTAAGGGTATATAATATACGTAAGAAGCAGCTATGATTTATCTAATCCGCTTAATCATCATCAAATGTTAACTGTAATTTTCAAATAAATAAGATAAAAACTTGCAATATTTTATCCGTAACAGGATTTAAAAAATAATGGAGATATCCAGTTTATATAAATCACTGTGAATAAGCTTACTAACTCTTATTTTGACATTTTAATGGTATGTTATAGCTGTCGTACATTCCGTTTTGGTATAACAAAGAGATCGTAAAATTCAGTTACAATCTTGTTTTGATGTTATCTGGAATGATAAACTAAAAAGACATAATAAAATTGAAATAATGACATTATGTTATGACTTGCTGAAAATTGAAACTGAAAACAATCTTAAAGCTTTAAAGTTAATAATAGAAGCGTTAACCAGAAAACATAAAATAAAAAGATTATACCATACGTACCTAACAACTGTTTCAAATTTATGCAATATTGTAGAATATAAAGCGGCCGTAGCGTCAGTTCAGAAATGGTGTTATGCTCGAGGAAGAGATTCACCTTTCACTCAATCAAACTGCACCTCATTATCACCTTTCGATTTCCTGTGCAATGTACCCGAATGATCAACATGTATCTGTATAGTGGATATTTCACTTTTATAATAAGCTATGCATATTACCTACATGAAAATATCTAGCTTCCAATTACTCAGTTATATGACTGTTAATTGTGCGATACGTTCTCAAAACACGTCCCTCGGTAGGGATGACTGATTTTTTCAACACTATTATACTGCAATACTGATGTCTGCAAAACATTGACCGTTGTCGCCAGTATGACAGACCTGTTGCATCCACTAGGCGCTCACGGAGCCGTATTTGATCCTGCTATCATTCGATTAAGTCCGATGATCGCGCTATGAGACTACTAACGCTCGGGTCTGTTGCCAGCTTATTAAATACGCCTAGATGAGAATTGCAAAAGTATAGATGGCATTAAAAATGCAATGTTTTCGATCTGATATGCCAGCTGAACTGTAGTTACACGCGTCAAGTAGGACCTGGGAAGTAGGACCACCATTCACCTAATAATGGCAACATACTGAGCACGTATCTATAAAAAGAAGAAGACACGATTGATGCATCATCGAGAGTTTAAATATGTTTCGTTCGACTTTGTTTCTCAAAAGCTAGATAGTTTATAACCAGACTCTGCGCGCAGGGTAATTCTATCCATGTTATTGGTTGTGTTATAATCACGAAACAACTTGATGAGTAAGGTTTTGCGATGACAGGGCAGATATCGCTATAAACATTTACTTTATTTGTTAAAGCCTATGATATTATATCGTGGACTTATATCTGTCAAAGTGATATTTTCAAATGCATCTCAAACGCATTAAACAGGTCATTGATCCGTTTTCAAATCAACAAGTACAGGGTTGACCAAAACGTACTGGTGTTCCCTTTGCAATTTACAATAACCCATGGATTTATAAAATATGTTCCCTAATTGCTTCCAAAGTATATCTCGATAATGTTCGAATAAATAGTTTACTGAGTCTCTAGCCCTCTACCAGGCTAAGGTAATTTCATCTGGAACACCGTGAACCATTTGAAAAAAGCTGGCCGGCGTGTTATAAATTTATAAAATATTTTAAAAATAAGATATGAATAAATATATCATGAATAACAAGGCATTAACATGACAAAATGTCACCATCTAGTTGCTCACAATATCATGAGTTCAATCATAAGTCAGATTTGAATTTCTGAGAACTCTGTAGATGATTTTGAAAAAATTGGTCAATTTGAAGCAAGTTAAAAAATACCATTTTTGAACCTGAGAAGGTCATTTAAAGTGGGATATCAAATCTAAAGTCGGATTTGAACTACTGAGAACTCATACATGAATTTGAAAAAATTGGTCAGTTTGAAACAAGATTAAAAAGACCTTTTTGACCTTGAGAATGTCATTGAAGGTCAAATCTTTTTTGACCTTGAGAATGTCATTGAAGGTCAAATCAGATTTGAACTGTTGGGAACTTGTAGAAGATTTTGGAAAAAATAGTTTATTTGAAGCAAGTTGACCTTTTTTGACCTTGAGAAGGTCATTTGAGGTCAAATCTCAAATCAGATTTGAAATTCTGAGAACTTATATATGAATTTGAAAAAATTGTCAATTTGAAGCAAGATGAAAAAATACCTTTTTGAGCTTGAGAATGTCATTGAAGGTCAAATCTTTTTTGACCCTGCGAAGGCCATTGAAGGTCAAATCTAAAGTCAGATTTGAACTGTTGAGAACTTGTAGATGGTTTTGAAGCAAGATGAAAATTTACCTTTTTTACCTTTATTGACCTTGAGAAGGTCATTGCAGGTCAAATCTCAAATCTGAAGTCAGATTTGAACTTCTGATAACTTGTAGATGATGTCAAAAAATTGGTCAATTTGAAGCAAGTTGAAAAAAGACCTTTTGACCTCTTTTGACCTTGAAAAGGTCATTGAAGGTCAAATCTTATATATAAAGTCAGATTTGAACTTCTAAAAACGTGTAGATGGTTTTGAAAAAAATTGAAGTCAGTGTAAACAGTATTTGTTAAGTTATTGGAAGTTGTAAGAATTTGTTACAGACGCCGATCGCCAACCACCAACTGCCATCCGCCGACAAAAATGGAGACCACCACAATATGTCACCACTTTTTGGTGGTGACATAAAAAACGTTGATGATATATTGCATGATTTCGTCAGGATTTCGTCTAAAATTAAAACAAACGGCTCCAAGAAAAATGGCGATATTCGAAAACTGGACGAAATGTCGTTAATGTCTGACATTAGTAACTGGCTGTAAATTCTAAGTTAGCGATCCAGAAGATGTGAACTAATACATTGATCACTTAATGTGTGTTTTGGAATTTTTGGTGAGGTAATAAGACCAAAACTCGCAATTTAAATTGTGATGTGGAAAAATGGCGAACATTTGATTTCAATTTTTTTTTTTTTTTTTTTTTTTTATTGAATCAAACATAAAATAATACATTAAACAAGGCAAAGATAAAATATTAAACCACTTTCACACCACCTCCATTCATTCAGACATTCGCAACAGTCATACCCAGAAGTTCTGGTATATATATAAACATGGTATTTTCAAATTGAGTCACGTCCAAGTTGGGATTTACCTCATTAAATTGTTTTGCATATATATAATATTTGATTGCTAGTGATAGCCTGTTTAGCAAAGTGTTTTCATTATTAACAGATCTTCCGAACACCATATCATGGGCATTCAAATTAAGATTTACATTGAATAATTTCCCCAAATTCTCTTTAATAGCTTTCAAAAAAATCTGAACCCGCCTACATTCCCAAAACTTGTGCTTTAAAGTGTCTCTTAATGGACAGTAACTACATCTAGCATCCTGTTTAATTCCTATCTGCGTTAAGTAAGCATTTGTGGTACAAATACCATGTAGAATCTTAAATTGAAGTTGTCGAATTTTATTTTGTTTCGTGCAGCTATAAGCCATTTTGAAGTAATCTATTCTTCCTAACTCACGATCATGTTCATTTTTATACAGTGGTTCCAAATATTTGTTTCTATTTAATATTTTTTGAATTGACTTCACTGTTAAACCATTCAATGACACTGGTTTTTCGCCAAGTGTTAAATGCACAAGATCCGTTTGTAGGCTCGGTTCAAAGACTGAAGTTAAGTCTCGCTTCAATAAACGTTTCCACTCCTTCGGTACAGCTGATATTATAGCATAATAATCAATAAAATTAATTTGTACGTTGTATTTTGCCTTAAAATCATAATACTGTAAAAAATGTCTCTGGTCATTTAGGATTTCAAATTTTTATGATTACAACATGACCCGTATACAGCAGTATAAAACATGCAGGGATTTATCTTTGGACGAAGGCCACGATATAGTGGCCTTAGTGGTCTATCACTGGGCGCACGGGGCAAGTTACACGTAAGAGTTTAAGGATGTTCCCTGGTCAGATAGGAAAATATTCAATAGTATTTAACTTTTTCTCAAAAATGGTTTTCTGGGATTCTCACGGGCAACAAAGAATATTAAAACTTTAAAAACCATATGTTAGTGTGCTTTTTTCTGAGCAAGAGGCCTCTAAAGTGTCAATATTTGACAAAAGTGGGCGTGGCACTTTCTCATTGAAACCCATGTTAAAAATCAGGTTTTCACCCCAAAACACACTTTTGAATATTTAACTTTTTCTTAAACTCACAGAAACACTTAGTTATGCTATGTACTTCACATTTTTAAAAGAAAAATTAGGGGTTGGTGTTCATCGTTTTCAACTTCGTCCAGGGAACATCCTTAAATCGATTCCTGGCTTATTTGGCCTCACTCCGGGAATACAGAGACGGCCTTGGAAGAGGGTAATTTTGACTTATTTGACATCCTGTAGTATAATTATTCAAATTGCGCATGAAATATTACTTAGTGAGTACAAATGCCTTTCCGATAATACCATCATTATGAATTCGAAGAATATCGTAGAATTAGTCGGACATACCCTTGCTTATCACAATTTAGTCAAAGAAATTAAACTAATAAATGATGTCATACGTATAACTCAAAATCGCACAGATCCTCATTGGTAATTAAGAAGAATATGACTAAGATGTTTTTGTTAGTGTTCTTGTATTATACCAATGAACCCAGACCATATATTAATTGGTGGCTTTCATTAACCCGTGATAATGATAAGGATGACGAATGTGTGAAGTGCGCAATTCAAATGACGACACCGTAAAAACACATGTTACATAAATGTGAAACGTCGAATTAATGAGGAAAGCCAATTCTTGCCATGTCATTGTACAGATACCTGTATATCGATGTGACTGTGACGTAATGAAGGAAGAACATAAACTGAGACTTATATACAGTACATGATGAAGGTTTAATTCTCAAAGAAGTGTCTTTTTCAAGAGAGATGATTCTAATGATATTGATATTATCTTTCTTTTGTATTCATTGTCACCACTTACACTTTTAACCCATTTTATGCGATGTAATATGTAAAGACATTTTCAACTCTGTAAAACTTAACTAAAACTATATTTTCATATTTATCCATTTTTCTTTTAAACATTTCTTTCCCGTTAAAATCCCCACGCGCAGATGAATTTCCGCAAATGGACACTGATATTAACATTAATTTTAATGAAGTTTTTTAATGCACAGCGTTCATGGAATCATTTCCTGATTGGCAATACGACTGAGCTGCATTTTGCAAAGTGCCAGAGTATGCGACCAATGAACAACGTTATGTGAGGTAGTGCGCATTAAACAACATGAGAAGTCTGCTGCCTGCTAAATGCCCGAGTGCAAAAAAAGACATTAAGCAAATTTGTGGTTTTCGTCGACACGTAATAACAATAATTTTCACTGATAAATCTGATCACGACTAATGACATATCCTATAAATTCATCACTTGGATATCGATAAAACCTGAATTTTAGTGAGTTTTCAGTACCTCACTAGAATTTGAAGCCAAATCTTAATGGTCAATACGACCAGAATTGTAACTCCGTTAGCATTCCACTGATAGGGAACACTCCGAGGGGTGCAGGGGGGGGGGTACATGGCCAAACCAAGAGTTCCGCTCGACTTTATGATTGATTGTCTTCCCACTCGTTTTTTACCTAACTGTTCAGTTCTCAGAAACCGTCCCTGACAAAAACAAAGCTCAAAGCCGTCGGAATCAAACCCAAAGTGGAAACTTTTGTACAATTACCGAATCGAAATGGGAAACAATATGCTATCTTGGTGAGACACCCCATGCCTGCCACCAGATTGTAATTCTTTAAGTCGTATTGTGCCCAACTGGTTTCATTATATTCTTGTTAGCACTACATTACACTGCTTTA